CATTTCAACAAGGTTTTGTCATCATCATTGTACCTGATGACGACAAAACCTTGTTGAAATGTTGTACATTTGCTGTTATGTTAAACTTATATTAAAGTTTTTCTTCATTACCTATTCAAGCTGTCTCCAAGCATTACTAGTCTCAAAGTGGGTTCCTCGTCATCGAATTTGATGTAAAATTTGTCTCTATACCTGTCAGTATCATGTCGTTAAGAGAGTGGTCAGGCATGTTGAAATGCTCTGCAACCGGAAGTTCTTTGTTCGTTTTTATTGAAGATTTGTGGTTATTAAACCGCTCCCATATAGATGTTTTAGGTAGGCCTACATACTGAAAGTTGCATTTTCGGGACTGGATTAAGTAAATAGCATTTTTTGTAGTGCAGGTTATGGGTTTATTGATTTTGAACTGTCTTTGGTTGTCTTTATCAGAGAAATTGTTAGTCTGCTGCATGAACTTACAGGTTTGGCAACTTTTGCCATTGCAGGGATAACTTCCACCGGGTGTCGCATTAAAGTTAACTTTGGCATGCACTAATTGAGATTTTAAAGTCTTATTTTTCCTAAAAGAAGCAACAGGAACTTCCGTAAAAATAGTTTTTATTCTATCATTAAGTTGAAGGAGGTAAAAGTGCTTTTTCAGTATCCGGGGTAGGTTTTTTAATTTTGGGTGATATGTGATAACTAGTGGAACACGAGAGGAATTTGTTTTATGTGACTGTTTCAAGGCAGATACCCGTGGAATATTGTTAGCTTTGTCAAATTGTTGAATCACTGTGTTTTGTTTTTACCCTCTTTCGGTCATAGTTAATTTCAAAGAATCAATGTGATGGTCATAGTTCTTATTGTCAGAGCAGATTTTCTTTAATCTAAGTGCTTAACTGAATGTAATATTTCGTTTGGTGTGTGGAGAGTGACAGCTTTGAAAATGTAAGTATTGTGGTCTATCAGTCGGTTTACGGTACAAATCAGTATGTTGAAAAATATCTTTTAATAGAACTGTGAAAAGAGTTTGCATGTTTATTGAAAGATAGTAAGCAGTCCTTATCTCCTACCCAAATGAAAAAAATGTCATCTATGTATCGTTTCCAAATGTTTGGTTTCTCTTTATAACTTTCCAACAGTCTCGTCTCTAAGTCTCCCATGAAAACATTGGCATAGTTTGGTGCCATCTTGGTCCCCACATCTGTGCCTTTTGTCTGAGTATAGAATTCATTATTAAATTCAAACCCGTTAAGTGCAAGAACTAGTTTAGCTAAGTCTACAATAGTCCAAGTGTTGGATTTGTCAAGTTTCAAAAGGGAAGATTCAAGAGCTTTCAGGCCTTCGTTGTGAGGAATGTTTGTGTAGAGAGAAAAAAACGTCCATGGTGCAGAGAATAATGTTTGGAGGTAATTTCCCATTGTTGTTAATGTCAGAGATCATGTTAAAAAAAATGGGTTGTATCTTTTATATATGATATCAAACACGGAGGGATAGCTTTGATGTGATGATCAACGTAAGTAGATAAGTTCTCGGTGGGCATATTGCAATTGGAAATAATAGGATGACCGAGATTGTTAGGTTTGTGTATCTTTGGTAACATTTAAAAGTGACCTGGAACTGGGTGTTTAGGTGAAAGGAACAGTAAAGTTTCATAACTTATGTGTTGGTTTTTCTGTAAACTACATAGTTTGTCTTCAATTATTTTAACAAATTCCGGGGTGGGGTCGAAATCTACTTTTTTATAGTAGTTTATGTCATTAAGTTGTCGATAAGCTTCGTTAATACAGTCAGATTTATCCTGAATGACAATGGTGCTGCCCTTGTCAGCTTGTTTAATAATAACATCATTGTCATGTTTCAGATAAATTAGAGCAGCATGTTCGTTGTAGGAGAGATTATTCCATACTTTTAAGTCAGAGTTAATGGCTTGAATTACTTCATTCTCAATTGCAATAATAAAGCTCTCTAAGTGTGGTTCTCTGTTGACTGGAGGGTCACCAGGTGGATTTTTCTTCAAACTGTGTACCGATATTGTTTGCGTTAGTGGTTTATTGTGGAAAAATTCCTGAAGTCTTAATCTGCATACAAATTCAGTAAGTTCGGAAATAACTTCAAAATCATCTATGTTCTTAGGGGTAGGAAAAAAGTTGAGACCTTTACTGAGAAGGTTGTGTTGAGTTTCAGTTAATGTATTAGAGGACAGATTTACGACATTGGAAGTGTTTTCAGGTTTGGGTCTCTCCGACAAGGAAGTAGCTGAATTGGATGAGTCAGGAGTAAAGCTTATTTTATGAGACAACTGAATGTGCGAGTTTGTATTATCATATGACCATGATATCACAATAAACAAACTGTGTACCAACAGTCAGGAATATATAACTTTCAACTACAGTAATATTAAAAGTCATGTAGCGATTATCTATATAAAAGTAATAAAAAAAATAAGGATGATGTAGGTATGGCAATGCCAAAAAAAGTACAAAAATAAGTTAGGGATGAATATACAAAAACATACAAAAGTCCCTTAATCTACTGACCTATTTATAAATACAATTATCTTTATCAAATGATAAAACCCTGTAACCCAAGTGCTTTCGAAAGGTGGACCTTTATTCTTCAAGGGTAAACTCTTGTAAGTATCTTTATCAAATAATGTGTAAAAAACTCAGTATTACTGAGTATTTTCTGAAGTAATAAAATATATTTACTTTACAAACAATAATTTCTAAACTGATTAAATGTTAAACAATTAACATTTCTGATCAAAATGAGAAAAACACTAAATTGTAAGATGAAAAGAAGTACTTTAAATGTGGTTTTTAAAACTGTTTTTCACAATATTATTTTCAAAATTTCACAACCTAAAAAATTATAAAAAATACTAAATCTAAGTATAAGACTTTCTGTAATCAGAAACTAGATACTATCTAGTAAGTTTATGATAAATTTCATCCAATTTAGTCATTTACAATAAAAAAAAGGAAAATTTCAAGGGAAGACACCCCTACAGTGTTAATGCTCTACTTCATAGCACAGTTTACTTTGAACTTAGAATGAACCTTAATGCTCTACCTAACAGATTCACATTTTATTTTGAACACAGAGTGAACCTAAATGGTCTACCTGACAGATTCATGTTTTACTTTGAACACAGAGTGAGCCTTAATGGTCTACCAGATTTAGAGCGATTCTTAATGCTGTACCTGAAAAATTCACATTTTACTTCCAACTTAAATAAATCTCACCTGGCAGAACTAGAGCTGACTGTGGCCAGTCATTGCTTCCACTAAACTTTTTCATGATTGGCCAGTAAGGAGTGTAGCTTTCATCATCAATGTCCTGGTCTCCAACCACAGTAACTCCATGGGCACTTGGGAGAGGAACACCATGTTGGAAGTTCTTACATGGCACATATAACTGTAAACTATCCTCAGCCTGAGCAGTTGCACACTGAGCATCAAACTCAACTGACATCCACTGGACTGAACTATGAAATGCCACCTATCAGAACAAACAGGTATTAAACAAAAGTCAAATATATTGTATTTTTTTTTATAAATTTTTAACTTTTGAAATACTAAAATGAACAAAAAAAAATCCTACACAACCTCAGTCAAGATTATCCTCAAAATGTGTGAAGAAAACTAAATATACAAAAGAAATTCATATACATGGTTCACAGTATGTTTAATAAATTATTTGTTCTAGTTATTACAATTAACTTTGCCTTTTTATTAGAGTATTAATATTTTTACTACTTATGGCACAATATCATTTTTATTTGTTCTTTTTTTATCTTCGTATTTATGGGACTAGCTGTAATGTACATCCTGCTAACCAGCTCTATAGTTACACTGTCAAAGCTGTTTAATGGGTTTTCATTGTTCACATGACAATACTAGAAAAGAATAAAGTTTTGTATATATTGGTATCACACTTTTTCAGAGATCATGGATCTGGTGTTAATACATGGAGCAAACAACTGATTTTATGTGTTTGGTAAGTAAATTATATTCTACTCTTTCTTTAACATTAGTTTCATTAACAGTACTCACATATATTTTTATAATTATTACTTGTATAATTTTTTACTATATTTGTCATGATTATTTTGCATTGTTAGCTTAGTATTTGGATTTACAACTAACTTAAATCTACTATGCTGGCTGAACTTTGTGAGACATTACTTAGATTAAGGCTGAAAATATTGTTAATGATGATGAAACAATGCATTCTAATTATTATAGCTTTTATCCTGTGAGTTTGCATACACATAAGTGCAACAGTATATTAAATTAGCTATATCAATTACTAGGCTATTTCTGTTAGTCCTGATCTATGTAAGTAGCTTACTTTGATCAGAAGTTAATGATAATTATCAAATATATTAAATACAATTAAAAGTTCATTGAACACACACTGACGATTATAAGATAATGCAGATTGATCAATATTCATTCAAACTAATTTGACCCTTGACTTATCTTACATTCATTTATTTAATATTTTGAGAAGAGACAAAGTGGACAAAAAAGTTATACTTTATGCACATGAAAACTATGTTTACTTCTTAAATTTCCAGAATGTTGTGTTCAATACTTCTGGCATTCAACAAATTTTTGTATTCAATATATAAGTACACATATCAAGTATTTTAATATTCAAGAATGCCAGTAAAAAAACAAACTAAAATAGCATTTATATACAAAGCAACTATACATCAGCTATGTACAGAGTATCATCACCAATGAGCTGCTTCTCAAAAACATTCCACAAAAAATGGCTGCTACCACAGAAAAACAAACTAAGAAGCTGGTGAGAAATTACTATTATAAGCATACATTTTTATATAAAGACAACCACAGTAATGCAGAAATAACTTATTTAATCCACACAACATTTCACCATAGTGTCTTAATCAGAGTTCTTCCATAGTATGTTCATTAAATTATTTTACTATTTACAACAAATAACTTAATATTTTTTCACTATTTATATTGATCTTTTATTTATTTTTCTATCTTAAAAAATCTAGAATTTTGCTTATTTATCTGTATAATTATACATTAATATATGCCATAGTAATTTATCTTGGATGTTAAGCCATAACAGCCCAGATGCAGATGTAATGATGAAATGTTGGTTCAATTAAATAAATTATTTTTAGAGTATTGTAATCATTTTTTATGTATAATGTAGTTATAGCAATATCTACAAGGCCTAAAGAAAGGATCTTCAAGTAGTGTGTTAATATACACGTAAATACATTAAAAGTTGTAATAAAAGAACACAATATCATTTGTAGAAGTTAATAAAAATCCACAGTAAATTGAGCAACTATCAGAAGACTTGAAATTAGTAAAACTAGTTTTGCCACATTTTTGCATCCTCTTCAGTTTCACATTGAAGATTTACTGTGGTTTTTCACTAACAACAGAAGTTGCTTTGGTGTTTCAATTTCATTAACTGTATCTGAAACATTTTTTGATTAAACTGTTTTTGTTTTATAAAGAAAACAAAAATACCATTTTGGATGTCAGTAATTTTATGAAAATGTTAAACAATACTTGCATTAGAATAATAATTTATAATGATGCATCTTGAAATGTACCAATTCATCATCAGCAACAAATTTATTTTAAAGTAATATTTTATGCCTGAAAATAATCCTTAAGTACCAAAATAGCATACACTGTAATTAGAAACTATAACAATGGATTATATTTCACTGAAACAATCTACACAGAATAAAAACTTTCACTGTTATTAGAAACTGTTACAGGAAGGCAGGGATTTAAAAAAAAAAGACCTATACTGACAATGAAAGTACCAAACACTAAGTTCTGACTGCAAGCTTACCCTATAATTAGAAACTGTAGCTGGACGGTAAGGGTGGTCACTTTCAACGCTAGCATAATGTGAAGAAGTTGTTGATAGGGAAGAGTCTAAAGTCTCTCCCACAAAAAATGACTCTGTTCCTTTAGTAGGTGAAGTAATACACTTGACTCCTCGCTTGTTCACTGTGGCCACCAGAGGAAGAAGTTCCTGTACCATATGCAGAACCTGCACAGCACACTAATAAAATAACGTGTAAAATATATCATTAAAAATTACAAGCAAACACTGACAAATCAGTATTTTCCAAACTGCATGGCCTGACACATCAATCACACCCCCAAAGGAATTAAACAATTGAAATATAGTAGGATATTTAAAAATTAACATATATTTATAAGTATACAAGATTTCTGCAACCATATCCATCAAAAGGGGGGGGGATTTAGTCTTTCATTGTTACTATCATTTTTTACAATCCCATAAAGCTTAGATGTCAATACCAATACCACTAAAATACTTAATTAATATACATGAACACTTACTTATACATTAAATCACATATAGGAAGGTAATATGTGCTTATACACAGAGCTTTAAGACTTACTCTCTTTAAATTAATTGGTCCTAGAATTTAGAGACAAAGCAAATTTATCTAAATTTATACAGATGGTTGCTCATGATTTACAGTAACAATCTGTATATCCAATCACCTTACTCTTCGCCATTTCCATGCTATATGACTACAGAGACTGAATGCCCAGGCCCACTTTTCACAATTCAGTTAAAATGTAGTAATCTGAAAGTACAGATAATGCCTAAAATTGGCCTCATCTGAAAAGATTATAGGACATGCCAATTCAAAGCTCTCCTATCCTGTTGCAAGCGAAAGAACAGGTATAGCATGATTCAAGAAAGATAAAAACAGGCTACTCCATGGCCCACTACCAAACTGGAGGTAGTCTAGATAGTTAAACAGTTTGTCTCCAAAAGTAATCGAAGAACACAGCAGCTCATTGCAGGTAAAATAGAAACCTCCCTTGGAATTGTAAACAAGATATTTTTATCAGGATTTTGGTCAACAAAAGCAACACAAGAGCCATGTTCACACATTTTCTTCAAAGTACTGAATCTAATGGAAGTTTAACTGTTAAATTCTGTAC